AAACCCAACGAAAGAAACAAAAAAAGCAACATTTTACAACTTCAACCTAAAGCGCTCTATCTATGCAAGATAGCATGGGGTGCTGTGTAGGAGTAAAGTCAGTTTCAGTCCTAGCTTTGTTAGACGTATCACTTTTAATTAAAAACATATTAAATCGGACTTACTGAAACAATGGACCTGACACAAATGGTCTCTTTCTTGTTTTTACCTTAAAAACAGTCGCATAGAGTGGGTGTGGCTGCACTGGAGCGAGTACCTGAAGGCCTACCAAGAGTTTGAGCTGTGGTTGACAAAGCAGCAACGAAGCCATGATGTCGAGCTAGAAGCGCAGCTGGGAGTGAAAGAGAAGCTTTGGCAGGTCGATCAGCAGAGGGTGGTGGTGAGTGATATCAAAGGCCAGGCGGTGCTACTGGAGAGGCTGCTGGATGAGGCAGCTGCTCTGCACAACAGAACCCAGGACCCCAGTGTGGATCCTCAGGCCCAGGAGAGACTGCAGGAAGCGTACAATCATGTCAGAGACAGAGCTGAGGTGAGGCACTTATTTGACCTGGTTCTTATGAAAAGTGTAAGGTGGCCGCTCTGTAGGCAAAGTTCAGAGGTCACAGTGCAGTTTGTTGTTGAGTCTTTTTTTTTTTTTTCTTGACTGTTAGTTGGGACCAGGAAGCAGAGTCGTAGTCTCACTGAGCGTCAGCTCCCAAACCAACAAAAAGAAACCAAACATCTGCAAAAAATCATTTAAATTTTTTAAAAACACAGAAAGAACAGTGTAGTATCCACAACTGCACAAAAGAGTAAACAAATGAAATGTGGATTATTAAACATTAGGTGTCTGCCACCACATGAATTAATAATTGACCAAAGAATCGATTTATTCTGCCTTATAGAAACCTGGTTACAGGAGGATGATTGTGTTAGTTTAAATGAATCAACACCCCAGAGTCATAATAATCGTCATCAAAGCACAGACTGAGGAGTGGGTGTGGACCGATGGGCAGAGCTGGTTTAGTAGCGTGAATATGTCAGTGAAGATATGTGGTGATATTTATTCTGTGCACCTGTGATCTGATCCAGGGACTGCAAGTTTACTGACTGAATAATTTACCTTACTAGTGAAGACAACGTTGGATTAGTCAGTAAGAGCAAACACATGCAGGCTGTTCCCTGAGTCACACAGTGGGACTCTTCTCCCTCTTTCCCTTTTCAAATCGCTCTTTAAAATGTCAGTCGCGTTTTCCCACACGCTGCTTTTATAAGCTGAACAGATCAGTCTGCCTGCAGTGCTGTATTTTTAACTACAAATGGGAAACGTCTGATTTACATAAAACTGTTTTTTTATTTGTTTTTCTAATGAGATTATATTCCCTGGAAGCCTCTCTTACTTGGAAGCGCTTGTTAGTATTTTTCTTCTCTTTTACATTTCAGCAGAAGGTCTCGCAGAAGAATACAAATTCATATTCAGGTTTCTCGCTCAGACATCCAAATGTGGTTTAAGACGTGTTCTGAAAGATGTTCGTTTGTTTGAACAGTGCAATGCTAAAAATTACCAAGAGATATATTTCCTGCTGTGCTAGGAACGTCTTTCACTGCTTCAGAAGATCTGCGAGCAACACCAGACACACCAAGGTTGTGTTCAGAGGTTCCAGTCCTGGCTGCTGTCAAAAACCAAGGAACTGACTGAAGTGATGGGGAGGAATGACACAGCTGAGGAAAAGCTCAAAGCATTAAAAGTGAGACCCTGAAACTGAACTGATTCCCTAACTGATAGTCTGTATTGCTTTAAGTAGCAGAAAACGTAGAACAAGGTGATTCTAGGCTGTGTATACATTTTCTCAGCCGTTTAACAAACACATGCATTTGCTGAACAATTTCAGTCCCTTTTCCTACCTGGAAATTACAGGAGCCCTGGATGGTTTTATCACAGGTACACGGTTGCAAGTATTTCTCTCCAAACCTACCAGTGTGACCAAATCTTACTAACTTGTTTACATATGAATTCTTGGTAGACTTTTAATTTGAAACATTTGTCTGACATAGGCGAGGTGATCTAAGGCTACGTTCACTCTGCAGGTCTTGATGCTCAATTCCGATTTTTTGATCAAATCCGATTTTTTTGTCTGCTC